GACCCCTGCTGACATCTCAGTAGTCATACGTCCCCTCCGGTGACAGTGGTCTGTCTGGTGACCCCTGCTGACATCTCAGTAGTCAAACATCCCCTCCGGTGACAGTGGTCTGTCTGGTGACATGACCTATGACCCCTGCTGACATCTCAGTAGTCATACGTCCCCTCCGGTGACAGTGGTCTGTCTGGTGACCTGACCTGTGACCCTGCTGACACCTCAGTAGTCTCCGGTGACGGTGGACGGTCTGGCGATCTGACCTGTGACCCATGATGACCTCGCAGTAGTCACACGTCCCCTCCGGTAACAGTGGTCTGTCTGGTGACCTGACCTGTGACCCTGCTGACACCTCAGTAGTCATACGTCCCCTCCGGTGACAGTGGTCGGTCTGGTGACCTGACCTGTGACCCCTGCTGACACCTCAGTAGTCATACGTCCCCTCCGGTGACAGTGGTCTGTCTGGTGACCTGACCTGTGACCCCTGCTGACACCTCAGTAGTCATACGTCCTCTCCGGTGAAAGTGGTCTGTCTGGTGACCTGACCTGTGACCCCTGATGACACCTCAGTAGTCATACGTCCCCTCCGGTGATGGTGGACGGTCTGGTGACATGACCTGTGACCCCTGCTGACATCTCAGTAGTCATACGTCCCCTCCGGTGACAGTGGTCTGTCTGGTGACCCCTGCTGACATCTCAGTAGTCAAACATCCCCTCCGGTGACAGTGGTCTGTCTGGTGACATGACCTATGACCCCTGCTGACATCTCAGTAGTCATACGTCCCCTCCGGTGACAGTGGTCTGTCTGGTGACCTGACCTGTGACCCTGCTGACACCTCAGTAGTCTCCGGTGACGGTGGACGGTCTGGCGATCTGACCTGTGACCCATGATGACCTCGCAGTAGTCACACGTCCCCTCCGGTAACAGTGGTCTGTCTGGTGACCTGACCTGTGACCCTGCTGACACCTCAGTAGTCATACGTCCCCTCCGGTGACAGTGGTCGGTCTGGTGACCTGACCTGTGACCCCTGCTGACACCTCAGTAGTCACACGTCCCCTCCGGTGACAGTGGTCTGTCTGGTGACCTGACCTGTGACCCCTGATGACACCTCAGTAGTCATACGTCCCCTCCGGTGATGGTGGACGGTCTGGTGACCTGACCTGTGACCCCTGCTGACACCTCAGTAGTCTCCGGTGACGGTGAACGGTCTGGTGATCTGGCCTGACTCCTGCTGACATCTCAGTAGTCACACGTCCCCTCCGGTGACAGTGGTCTGTCTGGTGACCTGACCTGTGACCCCTGATGACACATCAGTAGTCACACGTCCCCTCCGGTGACAGTGGTCTGTCTGGTGACCTGACCTGTGACCCCTGCTGACATCTCAGTAGTCATACGTCCCCTCCGGTGACAGTGGTCTGCCTGGTAACATGACCTGTGACCCCTGCTGACATCTCAGTAGTCATACGTCCCCTCCGGTGACGGTTGACGGTCTGGTGACATGACCCGTGACCCCTGATGACCTCACGCGTCTTATGACCTCACGCGACCTGGCCTGTAAGTCATCAGTCATTTGAGGTCGCCGGACTGGACACAGTCTCCAGCGAGAATATGGGCTGATAAGAGCCAAACGCAAGCGAAAGGAAAACAATATTTATTTATCATTTGCAGGGCATGCCATTAATGCTCACGACCTCCAGCGCCCGAGATCAGCTTTAACGTCAGACTTGTCCACCTCAATCCGCAAGACTGCAAGCCGCAGTAGAAACGCCACGTCCGCGACGCGACACGCCGTCTTGGCACGCGGTGCAGTCGGCACGGCCGGTACCGCGCACCAACAGAACGTGAACAGAACATAGCAGAGAACAGAACGAGTATGTTCAAGTGCATCACTTTGTCCTACTCAAGCGGACACATCAGCTACCATCGCTGCATGGTGATTGCACGCGCAACGTCTTAGAGGCGAACAGTCCTGAGAGCATGAGTATCAGCGAGCTCAGCTGGGTGCTGAGCGAGTCAGTGACGGCAGCGAGTCAGCGCATCGCTGCCGAAGGCAGCCGCGGAACGCGCTCACACACATTCATCACATAGAGTCCAGCGACCCGCGGCCTCTCTAGCAGTACAGCACGCAGGCCCGGGTCGTGCTCCACCGAACGACTCCAGGCACCCAAGCTCAGCTCACAGTGCGACATCAGTGCCACATCGGAGAGCCTGCGCCGGTCCAGCTCAGCTGAGACGAGTAGCCGAACGTTGCGAAAATGTGCGCCACCACGGCCAGGTGCGGCTTCTTGGTGAGCCGGTAGTTCGGGAGCGCCAGGGTAGACTCCCGCTCCTCCAAATTCAGGTCACCGAGCGCTCGAACAACTTGCCCACGGACACGCTGTTAAGTTTATACGCTCTAGCAGATGAGTGCCGGCGCCGGCGCTGGCGTCCAGCTCGAGTAGCACCGTCTCGTGCGTAGAAAGCAGTTCGCAGATCATCTAGCCGCGCTTGGTTATCACCAGACAGCCGCGCATCAGCATCGGCCGCAGCGTCTCCAGGCGCGGTGAGATCCACGCGCGCAAGCCGGCGGAACGCTCTCGGTGATTATAAGAGCCAACAGTCCGTCATCCCCACCACAGATCAAACTCGTACATGAGCAGTCTACAATAAGCCGACGCACAGATAACAGTAGTACTGGATTGGAAACAGGATTCCGGTGGCTGCAGTAAGAGGCCGAAAACAGAACCGAATGTTTCGTGCCTAGACTTCGATATCTCCTCTCACAGGCAACAAAAAAAAAAATTGGTTTATGTGAATGAAACTTATAAAGAAGCAATCTAGCCGTGCTCGTGTTTATTGTTGCATTTTTGCATAACGGCAACTTATTTTACTAAACGTTGCTGCACTTTCCTCACCGTAGTGAGGGAACGTATGCCACTGATTTGATTATAATGATTCCTCACTCTCATCCACAAAAAGCACTTTTACATGGGAGTTTGCTCTCTTTATTTACATGCTCATCGACACCAGTCCTGTCACAACGAGCCATCCAAACGTCACAATTCAAACCAACGTCACAAAACACCCCTTCAAGTGTCACTTCGCTTCGCCTGCCCTCCCAATTTCATCAGCGACCTTACTTCCCCGCCTTACATCTTCTTGATCCTGCTGAACTTTGGCCTCTTGTCGCTCCTCGATCGGGTTGCACCAGTGGCTGGGGTGTCTGCTTCCTGACTTTCGATGGACAGCACTGTCTTGAGTGTCTGCCTCACTTATCAGTTGCCATGTTTCCACACTTTCCAGCAAATAGATTGAAAACCGTCGCATACATCTCTGGAAGGAGGCTCCTAAGGACGTCGTGGCTATGATTGCAAATGGGTTCCGGTCAGTTCGACATCCCGTTTTACGACTATCTTCGTCAATTCTGCGTCACTTCTTGGTTGATCGCAGACCAGCAGCTGGTTCCTGTTAGCTTCCGTCTTCGGCAGTTGCCTCCAAATATGGCAGATCCTCACGGTGAGGTCGATGTCTTCCTCGTCTTTCTCCAGTCGTACCTCCAGCGGCGTAGCCCCATGATTGATCAGCACGCTGGCGGAGGCAACGTTACTTGTCACGCCTGGTGGCCGAGCGTGCCAAGGCGCCGGAGCTGTGTCCCAGGGAGGCCTTGGCGCTGTCATCCAGGTCCTCCATTTCAGTGGATTTCGCCACCGCGGCCACTAGCTCCTGGATGACAAGAGCACCATCCTGCTGTCACTCCTGCTGTGATGGTGCCATTCGGGCGGAGGCGTCGGCGGGGCTGAAACGTGACCAGTGACCACCATCTGAGGCCCTTAATTCGACTTTGGAGTACCGCCTCATTCTCCGGGAACTGTCGGACACTCGACCAGTTGTAGTTGCCACCTGATAGCTGATATTGTCATTCGTGAAGAACGCATCGGTCTGGCCCTTCATAACCTGCTTCTGGTGTGAGTGGCGTGCGGATGCCATGGCTGGTTTCGCTGGCCGCTCGTGCACAGGGGGCATCGCGTAATCCACGCTGGTTAATACTGACAGGACTGCGCCGCTCTTGAGCCGACGGCGCTGTCTCTGCATGCCGGTGCGAAATGACCGATCATCTTCGAAATCTTCCTTTCTGAAATGCAGCTCACACACAGCGGAATAGTCCTGATCCCACTCAGCCCGGTCACGGTGACCCATGGCGCCAACCCACTGAGCCCATAGAGATGTTTCGGTGAGAGAAGCGAATAGGTGGCATGTGAGACATCTCTTGTTCCTCTTGGTTCGTTGGGTTGTAGCCAGAACGGCACTTTTTTACCGCTCATTCCCCTTCTCCATTGTTGATGTACCTAGGTATACGTATGTAAGGCTTTGCACCACAATTTTTCAAAAGAAAACACCACGCATTGTGCTGTGCCCTCTAAATGATCAAATTAAAAGTGAAATACTTTAATTTCTAAGCAAATGAAAGCAACATTGGTAGCTTCGATTTTAAATGTAAACGACAAAACACAAAAATGACGATTTCTTGCAATACACAACACACAAATTATCCATTCAGCTGCACGCGAGAATCCCATTTTGGCCCCGTCGCATAAAAACATTCGGCCTCTTACTGCAACTGCCAATATTCTGTTTCCAATCCAGTTCTACTGTTATCTGTGGCCGACGATATTCACTTCACACTGTGAGAAGTTACTCGATATGAGAAACACGCGCCGCGTCGGCATTCGTCACGAAAATTACCGCGTTTGTGACGAACAGCCAACCGAAAGACGGCGGTACCTTGTGGACAACAGTCAGCAGTCCACCGTATGCAGCTGATAGATATAAGCTATGCAGCCGACTCGGCGGCATTCAGCGGCGCGTTCAGAGACACTGCAGCTGGCCAGCTGGTTCTCCAATAACAGCCACCACCGGCACTTGATATCAGCACATACACATACTGACCAGCTCTTCTCGCACCAACTCTAGGCGCTCAATACCGCGGCACAAGCGATATGTCCGCCCACACTCGTCATTGATCAGGTGGTCCAAAACACTACCTGCCCTGGTGACACTGAGTCAGGTCGGCGCCGCCGTGCCGCCACCAGGCCGTGACCGCCGGCTGCCGGCGGGTGAGCATCAGCAGGCACACAGTGGATCCGGCCAATGAGTCGACTTCGCAGCAGCGCGGCCGTGTCGAGCAGCAGGGCCAGCACTGCGTCGGTGCAGCTCTGGCGCGATGCCACCAGTCGGACGGCGGCGGCGACGCTCCGATCCAGCTGCCGGAACACGGAAGCGGCGTCACGAACATACAGAGAGATAGCAGTGGGTCGGCATTCCGCTAAGATCATACAAGGTAGTAGTAGATGGAAGCAGGTAGTACGGAAAGCAGGCGACAAAATGGAAATTAACTTATTACTTTTCCATGACAAGGAAGCTCTGTCTATAAGTCAAAGACAATCTTGAAACGGATCACGTCGAAAGCAACAGCTGACACCAGGTGTCTATATCGGACTGAAGGAAAACAGCTCCGGGTACCGAGTCGACGGACAGGGGGCAGAATATCAGCATCAGTGTATGTAAAACTTCGTTGTCGGTACCGTTTTAAATGTTCTCCAAGTGTTGGTATAATTGTATTACAACCAATGAAAACGTACCGTATCAGCGGAGAGCAGCCAGGTAGAGGTTGGCCGGTGTTGCCACTCTCAGTCGTCTGAGTGACTGCGGCCGCACACCGACAACCTGCGCTTCCGCACACCGACAGGCTGATGGCGCGTTGGCAAGCTTTGTCGCCTTCTGTAACAAAGAAAAACTCAGCTCAACATAGGGAAACACTTAAGATAACTAAATTGAGTCGGGAGCCCTCGAAATCTGTCTTTTGGCACCAGCCAACCTGGTTATCCCCTGGCTACTGAGAACAGAATAGATGACAGCTGTACAATGACACAAATGATACTAGGTGAAATGACGAAAACTATTAAAGGAAGTTTATGCAGTTTATATATAAACGACACTCTAAAAGGTCTCATAAAGGACATACGCTTTGAAAGTTTGCGATTAGTACACTCGCGTCTGAAATGGGACGGTCAATTTGAATTTGCACCTGTATCCGAGCGAGCACGTTTTCTTCAGCATCAGAAGAGTACGGCGTAGTGCTGCCAGTGGCCGCCGCGAGTGCCAGCCAGCAAACTCTGTAGCCGCAGCTCCACGTGTCCGTCTGCTGCGGAGTCTCGGGCACCACCAGGCGCCAGCTGGTCCACTTGAGATGGGGCTGCGTCGCCTCCATGAGGAGCTGCACTGCCTCTGTGTAGGCTCCGGATGGCCAACAGCCCATGGAGTCGAAGAACAGCACCACTTGACGGCGCCAATCCACTACGAAGAGGACCCGGTGATTGCCAATATTCAGTGGCAACAACCACGTGTTCGCTGTGGCGAACTGCCTCATCGATTCTGTGGTGCAGCGTCGACAGGGTGTCCTGAGAGCACCATACCAGTACACCGACAGTGCCAGCACCTGCGGAGATGATATGGACTCGCAGAACAGATCGATGTCCTCCGCGGTCAGCCAGGGTCTGCGCTTCGGTGGTTGTCCTGTTCGCAGCGGCCGTCCTTTGGGACGCCCTGAGGTGGCGGCTGACGGCGCCCGTCCTTTGGGACGCCCTGCGGTGGCGGCTGACGGCGCTCGTCCGCTGGCTCGCTCAGGGACCGTGGCTGACGGTCCACGCTCTGCTGCGGTGGCGGCTGACGGTGCTCGCTCAGGGACCGTGGCTGACGGTCCACGCTCTGCTGCGGTGGCGGCTGACGGTGCTCGCTCAGGGACCGTGACTGACGGTCCACGCTCTGCTGCGGTGGCGGCTGACGGTGCTCGCTCAGGGACCGTGGCTGACGGTCCACGCTCTGCTGCGGTGGCGGCTGACGGTGCTCGCTCAGGGACCGTGACTGACGGTCCACGCTCTGCTGCGGTGGCGGCTGACGGTGCTCGCTCAGGGACCGATTTGGTCGCCGGGGCTGGGGCCGTCTTGGGGGCCGGTTTCGTCGCTTGGGCAGGGGCCGTCTCGGGGGCCAAGTCCAGCGGTGGCTTAGTACGAGCATACCACGTGGGCTTGTCACTCGTGCGGCGCTTGGCCCAGCATTCCTCCTGGGTTTCAGGATGAAACAGCCCTTCTGCTGCCTTCCTTTTCCGGCCCCTGAGGACAGGCCGGCTCGGGATCAAAGCCGCCTTCATGCGGGCAGCCGTGTCCTTCAGCAGGACTCGCACAAAGTCGCCTGGCTGCAGTCGAGTGCGTCCCTGCAGCATCTGTTTTTTGACGACCTTGAAGTGTGACTCGACTGCCGCGTTGGTCACCACGGCAGCCGAGATCACTTGACTCCAAAGTGGAGTGAGCGGCATGACAGCCCCCAGCAAGTACTCTACCAGGCCAGGGCAGAAGTACTTGTTGGGGACATCGCTGGCTTCCCCGTCCGTCTGCAGGCTGCACTTGACTCCGTTAGTGATGTCCTCGAAGTGACGCCCGAACGCGGTCCGCGCGCGGTAGGTCCTCCGGGCTGGCGCGTCTTCGGCTGCCTCCAGCGGCGCCTCGGTTTCTTGGCGGTCGTCTGTTCCATAGTCTACGCGCGTGACTTCCGGCAGCTCCACGGCGCACTTGCTCCTCGACAGGGCCAGGACACAGAGTCGCTTGTACGTTGTGTCTAGAGTTTGCAGCGAGGTGGCCTGCTGCATGCTGGCGAAGAGCCACATGAAGCCAGGTCTTGCCTCTGCAGCCACTCCTTTGCTCTTCAGGGTGTGCGCGAAACTGTGCAACAGGTGGGCACCGCAGAGACTTACGAGAGTCTTGGGCTGCTTCGTAGGGTCTGTGAGGCTTTGCCAGCAGGCCTCGAGGTACGCTTCGGTTGTGGTCTTGACGATCGCCTCCGACACAGCGTGTATAAGCGCCCAACTGAAGTCCGTGACCACCCTTGGAGGCGTGAGAGGGACCCTGGTCACGAGTTTGTATCCATGGGCCACCTGTGCCAGGAAATGCGAGATAGTGGGCACATTGTGGCTTTCCGCCAGCAGGTGGGCTAGCGGAAAACTCCTGTCGGTGTCAGGGCTCTCGGCGATGAGCGCGTACAAATATGGCCGTTTCTCGCCGACTTGGCGGGTGACAGAGCCCGTGGCATCGAGGTGGAGCGTCCTCGGAGCCAGATGGTATCGCCGGAAGAAGTGCTCCCTGTAGAGGTGTACCACGACCGGTGCCCTCCCGATGAGATGGATGCCACCCTTCACGACTTTACTAGTCAGATCCTCGGCTCGTGATATAGCCATCGTCGCCGCCAGGTCTTCAGTCCAGTTCGTCGAGTGGCGCTCGGCCACCCGACGCTCGTGTGCCGCTTGGCGCAGGATGTGGCGAGGTGGCGCCTCGGTGATATTTCCGTCCGCGAGCTCGCAGTCCGGTGCCTGCATCAGCATATCTTGCGACACACGGTACGCTCCGCGATCTTCCACGCGCTCAGCAGTCTCCCGTCGCCGCTCTCCGCTGAGGTACCGGTGGGCGTGCTGCAGCTGATGCGCCGTGCTCGGCGTGCCGTACGTCGTGCAGCGCACAGTCAGCGGTTCCCCTACCGACGGCGTATGTTGAATTGAGAAAGAGTACGAACTGCACGAGGGGAAGCGACATGTGGCGAAGCAGGTGAAAAACGCAGCACCCCTCTTACGCGACCACAGCTTCTTGATTCGCCGTCGACGGACGGCCAGTACGCATTTCGGCCCGGGAGTGCTTCGGCAGAACGCCGTCGCCAGCGTTGAGGGTCAATCTTTCTTCAGATTACGTCCGACAAATACCTGTTTGACCTCCTTTTCATCGAGCTGAAACGTGAAAGTCGACGGCCCCGCCTCTCGCTGGTCCGGCACTGCCGTCGCAGGACACCCGGGGTCCGCCTCTCGCTGGTCCGGCACTGCCGTCGCAGGACACCCGGGGTCCGCCTCTCGCTGGTCCGGCACTGGCGTCGCAGGACACCCGGGGTCCGCCTCTCGCTGGTCTGGCACTGCCGTCGCAGGACACCCGGGGTCCGCCTCTCGCTGGTCTGGCACTGCCGTCGCAGGACACCCGGGGTCCGCCTCTCGCTGGTTCGGCACTGGCGTCGCAGGACACCCGGGGTCCGCCTCTCGCTGGTCCGGCACTGGCGTCGCGGGACACCCGGGGTCCGCCTCTGTCGTCGCCTGATGGTGACATGTCGTATCGGTATGGGGCCGAGGTCCGGTAGGAACAGGATGCGGAAGTGCACTGATGAGCTCCAGCACATGCCTAGGAGAAGGAAAATGATTCGGTTTTAGGCCATGGTCAAAGGAGAGCAACAGAGGTCGGACAACATCTCCACCCTTTCAAACCACGTCACGTTTTCTGACGATTAAACGGCGGACATATATGGGGGTTCTGGCTCTAGAAGTGGTTTGTGGCGCGCCAGCCTATAATGTCCCACCGACTGTTTACTATGCAAAACTGTGGGTATTCTATCTCTACCGCATTTTTTCCGATAAAAAGCAAAAAAAAAACAAACAAAAACAGTTCATGGTCGGCGGCCCGCGAGGCTCGGCGTGGCTCGCCAGCCTCGCTTCCAACTTGTCCGGTTTATAGAACCGGGATGGGGTTAAAATGCGTCGATATCTTCATAATTGTATTCTTATTTTTTGCAATAGGTGAGCACCAGGAGTTAGGACACTGATTACTTTCGCATTACTGATGGTTGTGGACTTCGTGTGTGTTTTATGCTCTTGTGTCAACATCATCAAAGCTTGTTCTGACCTTTGCCAGTGTTTATCATATCTTAATTCATTAGAAGTTAAACATATCGCATTATAATCGAGAACAACAAGCCATATAATCAGAATGAAGATGGAGAAACCATACAATATAGAACAATGTTGCAACAAAATTAGCACAAGGAGCCAAGGACATATTTAAAGCTTTGCATGATGGCATAGGGTACATGGCCACTTGGTAACATGTGCCATTTCTTATTTGTGCCAGTCAGTTGTGGGGAACGAAAGCGCAAAAAATCCAATACTAATATTCGCCAAGTACATGCGCGGACCTGGTCGGTACTGCAGCTGATTAATGGCGGCGGGAGACGCACTGTCGCTGCTGCTTGGGCCTGCGGATGGCCAAGAGTAGGCATTTCCCGCCCTTGTGGAGGCGTTCCCCTGTACGCGTACCTGCGGCTCGGGAGCCGGTCTGCTTTTGGAGCACCCCTGGTCTGGTAGCGCTGTTCAGTCGCTAGCCTAATACTGAAACACTAGCATTCTCTCCTCTAACAACATTAACACCTCTTACTCTTTTCCTTGCGCTAGCCTACAAGGCAGCGTCATCTGCCCTCAGTGTGTCCCCCGACAGTCATAATCCGTGTTGTCATTCTGATGTTTTTCTTCTTCTCCCTTTTACTTGCACGTGTTTTTAAATAAACGTCATGACCTGGGTTTATACATTGCATATTATCGGTGCTTTACCCACGGTATGTGCAATCGAGTCAGAATACACACCTTCCTAAAATGTCCTCTGGCAAAATCTCGGCGCAGTGCGTCGGCTTTCCGGGACAAAGCCGCTCGCTGTTTGGCGTTCTTCGGCTTCCCATCGCGTCTCTCCAGGACACGCACCCAGAACGACTTCAGCCTTGGTGACAGTCCTTGTCTTGTTGCCTCCCAAATGCCCTGGGAAAAGATTGTGTTTCATTCATTTACAAAGTGAATTATATAATTACACAGGGATCGAGAGAGAGAGAGAGAGAGAGAGAGAGAGAGAGAGAGAGAGAGAGAGAGAGAGAGAGAGAGAGAGAGAGAGAGAGAGAGAGAGAGAGAGAGAGAGAGAGAGAGAGAGAGAGAGAGAGAGAGAGAGAGAGAGAGAGAGAGAGAGAGAGAGAGAGAGAGAGAGAGAGAGGAGAGAGAGAGAGAGAGAGAGAGAGAGAGGAGAGAGAGAGAGAGAGAGAGAGAGAGAGAGAGAGGAGAGAGAGAGAGAGAGAGAGAGAGAGAGAGAGAGAGAGAGAGAGAGAGAGAGAGAGAGAGGAGAGAGAGAGAGAGAGAGAGAGAGAGAGAGAGAGAGAGAGAGAGAGAGAGAGAGAGAGAGAGAGAGAGAGAGAGAGAGAGAGAGAGAGAGAGAGAGAGGCAGTGGACAGGGAGAAGAGACAGGGAGAAGAAATGAAGGACAGACGGACATGATCTGTTGCTTTATCAATCACACAAGTATATGCAAAATGGGTGGCTTAACTTTGACAGCTTGAGCACTTTTGTGTTTCTGTTTGTTTGGCACTTATGACCATGTTATGACGACATACAGCATTGTAAGGTGAGGTTATAATGAGGGCGGCGGCAACGGCCGGAAAACAGTTTATTCATTCCTTTAGGCCCGAGAGCTTTGTGTAAAAACATCATGTTTAACACAATTAGCTGTTCCTTGCAAACATTGTTTTACGATAGGCTGCAGGGTTTACAGGTCCGTTTACGAAGCAGTAATGCAAATTCACCAATATAAATAAATACAGAAGACACCATAACAACGTAAGACAGTCGGTACATACCTGGTAGCTTATGCGGCGCCGCTGTTCCGGCGTCAGCGCTGGAAGGCCCGTCCGGTCAGTCGGCACACGCAGCTCGGTCTCCGAACCGTCCCCGCCGGCTGACACACCGCACACCCGTCCCGACACCGTGCCAGTGCCGTCAGCGCAAGGCGGCGGCTCGACAGTCGCGGTAGCTCCGGCGCAGGCCTGCACCGGAGCTACCACGTCAGCGTTCACTGATCGCGGCACAGACTTGCGGTCACAGGCTGATTCGACGTCCGGGGTGCGTCTCTTCGGCGTCACCGGCGATCTCGGAGGGCCAGATATCTCCTTCGCGCGGCCTCGCTGGCTGACGAGATTGCTCGGCGCTGCGGCAGACCGGGTGCAATTCACTTCCGCAGCCCGTTGTGGCGGTGATGAGCGGCTCGTCTTCAACTCACCAGCCTTCGTCACGTCATTCTCCACAACCCAGATGAGTCTGCCGGTCCCGGAGACGGCGCCGCAGTCACCATCCTCAATCACCTCGATTAGCTCCGTGAAGGCGACGCCGCCGCCTGCAGACGCCTCCTCATCAGACACCTGGGACGAGCAGTCCGTCTCCGTGTAGATGTCGATCAGCGGCGAGCCGACGCCGTCCGAGTGTGCCGCCCACAGCTCAGACAGCACGCAGTCGGGGATGTCCGCCGGTACGGCGGTGCCGCCGTTTGAGGACGAGGACGCCACGGCCAGCGGCGGCGGCGGCGGCGGCGGCGCCTCTTCACCGGCAGACCACGACATCGCCCCGACAATGTGTAATTCCCGACAGGAGGTGCATCGGTGGCCAACGAGGTAGGTCGACTAAGTACGACCACGCAGCCGGACTCCGGAGAGGCGCCCGATCACCCGGGAAGCAGCATGCCGTCTATCAGCCGCACCTGAGAAAGAGAAAGCCGTCAGTTTTCAGAGCTACACATATCGGGATACTCCAAGCTACTCGTATATGTCACCAGACAGTCCACTGTCACCGGAGGGGACGTATGACTACTGAGGTGTCAGCAGGGGTCACATCACAGGTCATGTCACCAGACCGTCCACCATCACCGGAGGGGACGTATGACTACTGAGGTGTCATCAGGGGTCACAGGTCAGGTCACCAGACAGACCACTGTCACCGGAGGGGACGTGTGACTACTGAGATGTCAGCAGGGGTCACAGGCCAGATCACCAGACCGTCCACCGTCACCGGAGACTACTGAGGTGTCAGCAGGGTCACAGGTCAGGTCACCAGAAAGACCACTGTCACCGGAGGGGACGTATGACTACTGAGATGTCAGCAGGGGTCACAGGTCAGGTCACCAGACAGACCACTGTCACCGGAGGGGACGTATGACTACTGAGGTGTCAGCAGGGGTCACAGGTCAGATCACCAGACCGTTCACCGTCACCGGAGACTACTGAGGTGTCAGCAGGGTCACAGGTCAGGTCAC